GTGTGTGTGCGTGTGCGTGTGCGTGTGCGTGTGCGTGTGCGTGTGCGTGTGCGTGTGCGTGTGCGCGAGTGTGTGTATGTGCGTGCGTGCGTGCGTGTGTGCGTGTGTGTGTGCGCACGCGAGTGTGTGCATTCTAAGCATTTCGTTCGTCTTTCTTCTCCGCTCCTTCTTCCTCTTTTCCGGTTTATCCTCCCCCCATTCTCTTCCTCATCCTCCTGCTCCTCCTCCCCCTTCTCTTCCTCATCCTCCTCATCCCTCCTTCTTCTCCTGCTCATTCATTTCACTTATAATTCTTCTTTTCCTTCGTCTGCCGTCTTCTTTTTCTTCTCCTCAACATCCGTCTTCCTTTTTTTTATTCACTCTTTCTTCGGCTTGATATAACAAGATTTGCGTACAAATTAGTGATCAATCTTTATACATTCGCCTTACTTATCTCACCAGCGTCTACGAGTCAAACGTCTGCTGCCAATTGCTACAGGGATCCATCCATAGATATCCTATATATACATACATTATATCAGGGGTTAATGATGACAAATGTGACGTTTGTCATTGGTCATTTGACATTTGACATTTGACATTTGACATTGACATTTAGTTGACATTTGTCATTATTAACCCCTGATTATATATATATATATATATGCTTTCTGTGAATTCATCACTTCTACCAAGGAGGTCGCTGCCGCTGCTCTCTGTATAATACTTAGTCGTTTACCACTTATCATAGAGCGCCGTCGTCAGAAGCATCATAAAGCTACGACCGTGACTTATGTTACGATTAAAATGTATTTGACGCCCTTCTCCCCTAATTGCGCAGACGTGAATTGATGACTCGAGGTGTACTCGGGGAACTTTGAGCGGTTTCAAATACACGAAAAACTACTAATATAACTTTAATCACGAGCGAAAGTCGCGTATCAACTGCGCACAATGTTGTGTGCGGTCGTCGCATTAGTCTAGCGGGGTAGAACAAGTATCGACTGCCCTTCTTCTATACCCGAGGCGTATACTGTTATTTTGAGACGTCGAAGTGAAAGGTTAACGATTATTTTAAGAGCAAGCGGCAAATCTTCTCCGCGCGCCGTTAGCTTAGGCAACGTAGGTGACATTCCTGTATAGCCCCATGAGAAAATTCCTAGGAGTGTTGCGATTGAATTTTTTGACACGGTTGAGTAATGACGAGGGAGGGTCGCAGCGCTAGCTCCCAGTCAACGTGCGTGGTGAGGCGGGGGTGCGTGTGAAACGATGGTTTTACGAATGAATGCATGACAGTGTACACTTATTTTAGTGTTATCTACGTTTATTAGCCTTAATTTGTATTTTTCTCTACAATCCAGGGATGTGCGGGCCGTGCACGTCACATCCCTCACAGCGGCTACGGCCCTGTTCTGCGTTTGTTCACATCCGAGTGCAGCGCCGAAATGACAGCAAGAGTTCGAATGTAATCGCCACCTTAAGCTTGGGTGGGGCATTCTCGGCTGTGACGCCCCCCCCCACACACACGCACCGTTATCGGAATTATCGGAAAAATTACTTCATTATTCATAAATAACCGCCCAGTCGTGAAAAATACAGTGAAATATAGTCTCACCTAATAGCGAACATGGTACTGATTACTCCGGCATAACAAATTACCATGAGTTTATGCTGTTATGGTATACAAAATACTAGCAAATAATGCTGCCACATTCTTTCGTACAGCGACAATTGCCTTAAAATCGGCAACCACCAGAAAAAAGTGCATCTTATAGAGTGACGTAGTGGTTCTAGATGGGTACTACATCTCTACTGCTTAATTCAAGTTACCATAGCAAAGTATGTTGACAGGGTTACACGAGAAACAAGTGGCATCACCATGTAACCGCGTCAACACGATATAAACAAACATATTTCAATCGTTGTACATTTTGTGAAAATAACGATGTACGGGTGTTCTAAGACATGTCAGCTTTACTTTAGACACTTTTTTTACTGTTACTAAAACAATACCAGTAAGTATTGTAGTGGTCGGAAAAATACGAGAATGAAGATTTTTTGAAATCATTACTTTAACGCTGTTTTGATCTGCGCACTACACGTGGAAGTGACCGCTCTCAGTCGCAGCCACGAACAGTCCCTGTAAACGCGAGAGATTTTACCCAGCAAACGTTTCGTTCAGTGACATGCGTGAATTCGCGATAAATTGAATTCCTTGTGGTCGGCGAAAGTGGAGGGGGCGAATAAGAAGTAGGAGTAGGAGGAGGGGGGCATCGAAACGAGAAAATCCGCATCTTCGACGTGATTGCATGTTAATGATTGGCAATTTCACGATCGTTGGCCCCATAGTGGTTGGCCTCGCGAATTCTAAACTCTGACCATTGTTCGCAGGGTGGCCTCGGCGCCGGTACACTAGCCTACCTGCCGCATTACACCCCACCCATGCTTTGTATAAAATACTCCGCCCCTACCTCGCACAAAAATACCCCTAGCATATCTCCACCTCACACATTATACATTACCAGTTTCGCAGACGGAATACACGCAACTACAACTAAACCTACTTCACGCCAAATACAACACTCCAACCTTGTGTAAAATGCTCCCAACGCACCCGATACCTTGCGCAAAATATCATACCCCTACCTTGTGTATAATATTACCTCCGACATATCCCAACCTCGCGCAAAATACAACAGCATATAGTTTACCTAGCAGAGTATGCTCTGCCGTACCCCTACCTCACTCAATATATCCTACCCCTACCTCACTCAATATATCCTACCCCTACCTCACTCAATATATCCTACCCCTACCTCACTCAATATATCCTACCCCGCTCCTATCTCACGCGAAATACACCCAACATATCCCTACCTCGCGCAATATACCTCGTCCATACCTCGTTCCCTTACCCTTACCATTATCAGGAGTGAAACAATAATATGTGATCAATTATAGATTATCGATTATTATTCACTCCTTCCTGTCATTATCTTGCTCAGTTTCCCCACCCCTACCTCACCGGTCGCTACTTGCTGTGTGTTCGATGGTGTTGTAGTTAGGAGGGGGCTGATTATCAGTATCAGCGGGGGCATGTGTAATAAGTATAAGTATAAGTAGATAATAGGACTCACTACACACGGCGTGTGTAGTCCCCTGCCTGCTACCACGAGTGAGATTAATCCGTCTACCGTGAGTGATCAGGGGGGAGTAATCCTGCTGTTGACCCTCCCGCCCTGCTCCCTCCGCCAATGATTCCCCGGCCCCGCAGATCCAGTTTGTCTCCCCCTCCCCCCTCCCCGCCGTGGCCGCCCAACATCCTCTCCCCCTGTCGTCGTCCGCATGAATGAATCGCGGGGTTTGTGTGCGTGCGAAATTGCCAATGCTTGAATGCCTCGGCCAATTGGCCTGCACGGTGCACGGACGGACATTAGGACGCATTGTTGGGGTGGACCTGAGAGGGGTATAGCGGTGCTCACAACAGTGGCTGGGTGTGTTTGCGTCGCGTCTCGCGCACAATTCGCAGCCTGTGCACGGAGTAGTCGTCGTTGTTGCGGCCGGCGGCTGCGAGTGACGGACTGTTCCTGGTTCAAGATACCTGACGCGCTGGAATAACAGACGCCAGCACGCAGTGAGATTCAGCAGTGTTGATGCGGTCTTTGTAGCAGCAGTGTCACAGTGCGCTCTCTACACGCTGCGGACGCGTTAGGGAACACATGCAGAGAGAGTGAAAGAGACATAAAGAAAGAGAGAGAGAGAGAGAGAGAGAGAGAGGGAGGGAGACCTAGAGGAAGCCACATATCGATGACAAGGTGGTAGACGTTACAGGGAAGGAAGAATAAATCAAGAACTCTATACATAAAAGGAGGAGAATCAGTTAAATCCACGTGTAGGTGACGAGGTATTGAAGTTACTGAGAAAGCCTACGTACAGGTGACAAAGTAATGAGAGGAGCTACAGCTAAGAGATCACTGGAGGCATATCAGGTAGCCGAGGCACACATGACAGATAGGCTTGTCTCTTAATCTAGAACTATATCATCGATTACCAGCAAGCGCTGAACGCCAGCAGCACTTGTATTCCGCGGTCCGACGGTGGGACGCGTAGTTTGCGCCTTGCCGGAGGGACACGTACTTTGCCGCCTGACGGAAATGCCTGGCCGCCGAATAAAGCCACCGTATAAAAGTCAATTTCTATAAGGCCTACCATTCGTCAGCAGAGGTGGGCAACCCGCTAGGAGAGCCGAGCTAGCGGTGCGTTCCTTAACTGGTGTTTAGTGACATGCCCGCTAGCAATCCGCAGTAACTGGAGCGTCATATGCGTGTGTGTTTGATGTGTGGCTGTGATCGCAGGCACTGCCGAAAGCGTGTCATTTCGAAGACGGAAGTTTGCGTGGTGCGAGTGAGGTTCGTCGCTGGGTATACGGACGTGTAACTGCGACTGCTAGCAAATAGCTGTACTCGCTGCTCAGCCCTGGCTGGTAATTCGTCTGCCTTCTCGTATCTACTTGAGCTAGCAGTACCAGCGAGTGCGTGAGTACGCACCTGATAGTTGCATCTGCTGCTAGGCATGCTCACACTCCTGTGCAGATACTGCGGTGAAGGTCTCAGCGAGAGGAGAGAGCGAGAGAGATAGGATTACCAGACAATACAGAGAGAAGATACAAAAGGGGATACGAAGAGACAGAGAGATAGAGAAAGAGAACGAGAAAGAGAAAGAGAGAGAGAGCGAAAGAAAGAGGGTGAGAGAGAGAGAGAGAAAGAGAAAGAGAAAGAGAAAAGGAAAGAGAAACAGAGAAGGAAAGAGAGAGAGAGAACTGAGAGACAGACATTGACATTCGGGGCGTTCTTTGGGTGGATCCTACAGCGCACCGGCTACAAGTGATAGCATGTAATAGCTTTACTCTACCGCGTGGTTTACCAATGTTAATGTCAATGTTACACAATTATTAATGGTGCTAATTGTTAATTGTGCGTGGCACGAACCCATCACCAAGCTTTTTTTCCTACGAACCACCGCATAAATTGTGTTGACGCGTCTGCGACTGCTGCTGCTGCTGCTACTACTACGGCTGCTGCTACTGCTGCGGCTGCTGCTGCTGCTACTGCTGTTGCGGCTACTGTTGCTACTACTACTTCCACTGCTACGAGGACGAGGAGAGCAAATACAGCCACTAATCCGCGGTGACTCTGTCGAGCTTTTTCGGTCGACTCGTGCGTTTTCGCGGTCGATCGTGCGTTTTTCGGGGTGAGCGTTTTTTACCGTATTTGCTGAACCTGTTTGCGGCACGCGCTCGCGGCCCGACGTCGTTGTCGGCGTCATTGTTGGCGAGTGTGTCTGTGGCTCACGTACGTCGACTGCGACGTGGCGTACTCTGCTCTCACAGCCGAGTGATCGCGGATTACACGGAGCAAGCATCACTACTGCCTTTCACTACCGTCACTACCGCTGCGGTGTCCTCCACGCGTACTGCCGCTTGGGCTAAACCGCACGCGAACACGCAAACGCCACGGTGCGTACGAACGGAGAAATTCCGCGGCGCATTTAGTGGTGTTCGGACACGTACTTCGCTGCTGACCACCACGTTCACGTGCCCACGTGACCACGTTCAGGCGTTCTCATGGTTCATGGTTCGAGCTTGACTCGACCGCTCACAGTCACGTGATCGGTGGTCGGTCGGCAGACGATGGCGTCCGTGAGGGTGTCCGACCTTGCATCGATGATACAAATTTACGAGAGTCGTTGGAACCAGGTCGAGATGCAGTCAGCGCCGCCGAAAGCAACCAAGGACAGTAAGACGCGTAAGAGTCTCGCGAGAACCCGCGATAAGAGTGTGGACATTTTCGACTCGGTGGCGAGAAAACTTCGCGGAATTCGCACCAAGTCCGTCGATCGTCTGACGGCCGCGGCGCATGCGCAGGCGGACGACTGGGTGACGGCACGTGACCGGTCACTCGGCGACTTCCGGCGGCGTGACGTGTCGGCTGACCGTCTCTCGATCACCTCTCGCTCCTCCTCGGCGGCTCACAGCGTCTTGAGAGACTGCGACAGCTTCACAAACTCGCTGAGGCGACCCGGCGGGGATGTCGGCGCCGAGGAGAGGGCTCTGCGGGGCACCGTCAGGGATACGGTGGACCGACTCGCGCGCCGCGACAAGAGCCTCGGCTACATGACGACGAAGGAAAAGCCGTCACAGCGCGTCGCCATACCGACGGAAGCTGCAGATCGTCTGTCGATGCGGTCTCGTTCGCGCGTCCGCGTCGTTGCCATAGAGAAGGAGAACGAGCGTGGTGGAGGGTCGGCTGCAGGATGGCGGTCACACAGGGAGACAGGACCCGAGGAGCGGCTAGAGAGACTGACCCTCGGGCGGGCGCTGGGAAGGTTTCTCAATAACCGCGAGAAGAAGAGCAAGAGCGATGTCGAGAGACCTCCGGTAGAGGCCGCCACGACCAGGAGAGAGAGCCGACTACCGTCCGTTATCATTACGCATCCGGTTCCGCCCAGAGCCAAGTCGGTAGATCGGCAATCGAATGGCTGGCCAACGCACGAGAACGTAGTGCTGGGTAGTGCCTTCACCACCCAGCGGTCGTCGGCAAGGTCTCGCTCCGTGGATCCGCGGAGAGAGATACAGAGCATGGAGAGAGCGCCCACCCGCGGCGCCACAATCACAGCAACCGATCGCATGGCTTCCAGAGCCAAGTCCGTCGATCGCTCTACCGTCAGGGAGAGGCCCGCTAGAGAGCGCTACGTCTGCGAGACTGCTTACTTCTACCCGTCGGTCGACCGCGCCTTCGTGCGCGCCAAATCCGCCGAGCAGCGCTCCACGAACGAAGCGATGACGACCATGATGGCGCCGTTGCCACGGCAACACGAAGGCGCGCATCGCAACCACCAGCAGCAGGTGGCGGCAACGGCAACGCGGCAAAACAGACACGGGAAAAAATGCAAGAAGCATTCGCGGGCGAGCTCCGTGGCGAGTTGCGAGGATGGCGTGCTGACAGGTATGTGCGTTCCTCTCACTGAGAGTAAGATCAAGAGCTTATAATACCCGCTTATAATACAGGTGGTATTATAAGCTATTGGTAAGATCTATAAGACACAACACATGGAGGTACATAACACACACGACGTGTACACGATTGTATATCAGACATGCATACATACACCACACGTACGCACGCACGCACGCACGCACGCACGCACGCACGCACGCACACACACACACACACACACACACACACACACACACATATATATATATAAACATTTGTAAACCGTTCTTCTGCCTTCGATGACATGTGCGTAGCAGCAAGCTAGCATCGCTCGCTAGATTCGCTCTCGCTACGAGGAACGAGCGAGTGATTGAGATGGAATGGTTCAGCTGTGAGTGGGCTTCTTCTTCTTCTTCTTCTTCTTCTTCTTCTTCTTCTTCTTCTTCTTCTTCATCATCTTCTTCTTTTTCTTCTTCTCGGGTCACTACTGTGAGTGGACTGAAACTATTCGTACATGCTGCGTCTTGTAGGGGGTGTATACCGACATCTGATCACCACATATGTTATCATAAATCATAAACCTACTCTCTATACGCGATTTCAAAAAATGCTTTTAACCTTTTGACAATCATACGGAAAACCTGCCGGGTAAGTGAAATCTGGCGCACGCGTTTTTAACGGTCCCGCTAACAATACATGGCGTCTTGTCCTCCGTTGTTGTGAGTACTGAGGACTGGATCCAATCCTTGCAGTAGTAAATGAAATTTTAAGCGAATTATGAACCCCCGCCTTTGTAAAAACATGTTCTCGATGGGCTATACTCTGCGTTGCTGCAGACTTTCGCCAGTATGTTCCTGTGCGCCTTTTTTCAATCAGAGCAATAGAGTTCTCCTCTTCTATTTTCTCTTTCCCTCTTTAGGCACTTTCATTTTGTTCCCGCTAGCGCTGGCACTGTGCCGATACATGTGTGCATGCGTGCTTGGGTACGTGCGTGTCTCCGTGCGTGCGTAAGTGCGCATGTAGGTAATTGTGTACTGCTGTCGTACGTCGGAGTATATATACAGGGACTCAAACGTTGCAGTGTCGTTCCGCTATACACGGGGACTCTAGAGCATAGATATTGTACCTTTGGGTTACAATGCGACAGCCATACAAAGACATATACAACAGCCCCTTCATTCGCCAAACACGCGCAAGTGTGCCTCCTGTGACAATACGACACCGTGTCAACGCCCCCGGGCACCAGCGCACAATGCTGTGACACATTCTAGCTATGAGCGGAAAGTGTGCGACACATGTGCGGCACGCAATGCCCGCGTAAAACTGTAAGTTGTAAAGTCTTGTGCAGGGCATAATTACTACATTGTTTCGCACTTACCTAACGGTATCCTGCCACCTGCGCAAGAATAGCAGGTAATTATGTGTTAGTTAACCTGGAGGCACGCGTGGAAACGTGTATGTGTGTGTCCTATACGCATAGGCACCGGCCTGTAAGGAGACTAACATGACAGAGGGGTTTATTGTTCAGGTGGTATGCCGGGAAGCAATCAGGAGCTTTTATGCGTGCAGACGATACGGAGAGAAACGTGTGTTCTGACCGAATGATCCGATAGAGAGACAAACCTCATCACCAAGACCAGGATATGTTGTTACGCCTCATAATCAGGGTCAACATTAGCTGGTCATGTCCACGTGCCCGTAAATGAATGTATTATTGACGTGATCTTTTCTCTCGCGCGTTTCATTCTCTTCTTCTGTCCTCTCTCTATCTGTCTGTCTCTCTCTCTCTCTCTCTCTCTCTCTCTCTCTCTCTCTTTCTCTCTTTGCCGTACCCCTCTCTATCGCACGCTAACTCTCTCAATCTCTATGTCTCTACCTTTCTCGCTTTCTTTCTTTCTCTTTCTTTCTCGTTCTCCCTCTTTCTCTCTCTCTCTCTTTCAGCTTCTCTCTCTTTCTCTCTCTCTCAGCTTCTCTCTCTTTCTCTCTCTTTCAGCTTCTATCTCTCCCCCTTCGTCCCCTCCCCCTTCCACTCCCTCTATCTCGCGCGTGCCATAACCAAACATTAGGTCTTCATGTCTTTACACATGTGGTGCAGTAAAATCCTCTTATAAATAGCGACAACGAGCATGGGATGACGGACGGATAGATTACACTCACTGTCTATTCGAGGTCTGTTTCAAAATTCGCGCTGTAAATGTTTGTCTAGTTGTATATGGCCGTAAGACACATAGTTCGTTTGTGTTAGAGAATAATCTACTATTTCAGCGTCGATGATTCTGTGTACAAGCTCCACTGTGATTGACCCGTGAAAGCTTATACACGGCAACAAAATAAGCCCTTCGAAGAATAATGGAATGCATTACTATACAACCACATATTCATCGAACCGTTTTTGTACCGATGGACATTTAAAGAACACGCGTGGAAAGAGGTTATTTCCTGGTGGTAGTAGCTAGCTGTTGACCCGTTGCCCATTGTCCGTGCGGCAGCGTACGTGAGGCCACGATGTGATGAACCGTATATTCATGTCGGTGGGGTTGCACTCCGGATGTTTGGCCGGCTTGACGGTGTATGCGTAATAAGTACGTCTAGATGAATGAATCTTCTCCAGTCCAGCCTTCCTTCTCTTTCTCTCTCTCTCTCTCTCTCGCGCGCGCGCTCTCTCTCTCTCTCTCTCTCTCTCTCTCTCTCTCTCTCCTCTCTCTTCTCTATAATATATATATATATAATATTATATATATATATCGCTCTCTCTGTCTCTCTCTCTCTCTCTCTCTCTTCTCTATCTTTTCTGTCTCCTCTCGCTCTCTCTTCGTCTCTTCTCTCTCTCTCTCTCTCTCTCTCTCTCTCTCTTTCTGTCTCTCCCTCTCTCAGCCCCAGACCTCCCTCTCTCTCAGCTTTCTATTTGTCAGTCAGTCTCTCGTTCTCGTCAATCTCCCTCTTTGTCCAGACGCCTATTTTACACGCAAACACACACACACACACAAACATCACAACACACACACACACACACACACACACACACACGGCGCGCGCGCGCACTGCACGCACGCACGCACGCACGCACGCACGCACGCACGCACGCACAGACACTCACAAACAAACAAACAACAAAACACACACTCGTGCACACACACGTATACACGCACGCACACGACACGCACGCACTGCACCTTTTAACGTTCCTTCGTTGTCGTTTAGCAGAGTGCCCTGCAATTCTCGTACCAAATAGCGCTCGGAACCAACCAACCGTTAGTTTTAAAACGTGGTCCTACATCAATGGAAGCCAGCTGCTGAATTAATTGCCCGCTGCTTTCACACAGAACGCCACATCGCGCCCACGCTGCGCCGAATGACTTGTCTTGTTGACAGACGAACTATAGCTGGCAGACGAGGTTACTATAGGCTGGCAGACGAACTAGTTATCAGAACCAAACTAGTGCCTGATCTCTGCGCGTATTGACAGTGACAAGTAGCGGATAACATCTCTATAGCGGGGCACGCAGTAGTCGTGGTTACACTCCACTCACTCACGGTACTTTCAGACTGTGGTAGCAATGGCCGAAATGAGTCGAGAGTGAATTTAACTCTAATAGGTGTATATCAGCTTTTGAGTTTGCCACCCTAGCTGGGTTTTCGCTAACTGTAATAATAATAATAATAATAATAATAATAATAATAATAATAATATATATATATATATATATATTATATTAATATAATATATAATTCAGACATCCTGGCGAATCCTATGCTCCCAAGTTGGGACACGGCCAACCAGAAGGCCACCGGCTAATGCCGTGATCCACTTTGGAAATAATGACGATAATAATAATAGTAATAATAGTTTTCTTTGACCGCGACGTGGCTGTGCGGCAATGACCGATGCCACGTAGGTGTCATGATTCGTTAGAACGGGTAATCCTGCTCGAGCACTCTTTCTTTTAATAATACAAACACGGGCAGTGTGTGAGCGCTGCGCACCCACGCCATTGCGGGCAGAAGTTCGACACGGCGCGCACAAGACAAAATGGCTGCTAAAACGGATTAAATTCCGTGGGTGGGTGGATGGATGCGGTTTGATGACGGCGGCCATTGATGGCAAGCAAGCACATTGTTTTTACACGCCGCGTGACGCGTGACGTCGCTGCCATCGCGTTTGCACAGCCGAATCGTAGTTAGTCGCCGGATAATTTAGAGTAATTTTCAGGCGTTGAACCTAGGCCGTAGCTGCTCGCGCGCGGACTGTAAGCGCAAGTGTAGCTTCAATTTATAATGACGTAATGCGTGCGTACAACGACCCACCGCCGCCTCTTGCTATTCTAAACGTATTTATGGAACAATAGTGATCTATTTCTAGGGCGAATACACGCAGTAAACCTGTTAGAAACAGTTTCAACAACGGGTTGCAACTAAATGATGTTGCTTGAGCTTGAGTACATAACTATGCGATTAACAAAAATCGGAAATTGAACAGGATTTAAAAGCCGCACTATGCGCATCTAAACGCTAATTTCTTCAGTACTTGACTAGCAATATACTTTGTGTCATGCATAATCACACTACCTTAGCCAAAATAAACTCAGTTCCTCCCATTTCACTGCGCGGTTTGCTTAAAACCGACCAAGAAAGAGTGCGATATCTGGTAATCTGGCGCCAACGCCGACTTGTTTGCCAAACAATTTGAGCCTCGAAGCGGTTAGGTGACGTCACATGTTTTTATCTTTGCTACACCGTACCGCTGTACCGCAGCACGCCCTGCACGGTTGCTTGGGAGAGCAACGCGAAACTGTCAACAACGTCGGAGATTTGAACAACATTGGAGGTATTTTCAAATGCCTTTTATAAGACAACGCGCAGTGAAATGGGAGAACTAGAGTTTATTTTGTCATAAGGTAGTATGATTCTGCATGACATGAAGTATTTGCTAGTCTAGTACTGGAGAAATTAGCGTGTAGATGCGCATAGTGCGGCTTTAAATATACGGATAGGCCATAAAATACATTCTTGAGATTTCTTGTTTTAAAGATAGACGTGAAAGTAAAAGGCATCCACGTACATATAATCAGGAGGTTATAAATGGCTTATAAGCTTATAAGAGCTTATAATTCCATTTATAAGCTCCTGATATAATGTTCACTCCAATATATCAAGAGTCCATAATAGAAAAATGCCCGAGCACGCTGTAAAACAGTGTCACAATCCTTTTCTATTATGGACTCTTGAATATATATTACACGCCTAGTATTGGCAATGTTTATAGTTATTCTACCTTTGGTATTTTCTATATAGTATGTCTTCATTAATATGTATACAATATACACGTTGCCGACAAGTCAGCGTTACGTTACCTGCATGGTCACGTGCTGTGCGACGAAGGAGCAGTTATCTGCTGCCAGAACTATGCTATCCCGTCTAATGGCTCTTGTGTTTAAATGTCGAACAGGGAAGTCCCTGTACACGTTAATAACAAGGCTATGATTTCGCGTACAGGTGGTATCACCCCCCCCCTTAATTGAAGAGGTAATGGTATCATGCAGACAGGAACTGCTGGAACTGGTAGTTGCAAGAGTATTAGCTAATGAGCAGTTAAAGAAACAGGGTGTCGAAAAACCAAACGTATATAGCACTAGATCGCAAAATGAGCGTAGAGAATAACATACTCGCATGTATGCACGCCCGCACGCACACACGCCCGCACGCACACATACACACGCACACACAACGCACACACACACACACCACACACACGACACACACAACATACACGCACACATACACACGCGCGCCCGCGCACACACACACACACACAACACACATCACACACACACACACACACACGCACGCACGCACGCAAGCACGCACGCACGCACGCACACACACATACATATATATACTTAAGAAATATAGTTGTATAAATTTCACGATATAAGACATTGAGAAATGAATTTAATTAGGGAATAAACACGCACATAAGTAAACAAAACAGGTGTACGGCCGAGAGTCATGCATGGAGGTAGCGATAACGACCACGCAAAATACATCGTAAACTAGACAGAGGGCACTCAAAAAGTGTGCATACCTCCGCGAGCGTGTAACATGTATACATGTGTATAACAGCTGGCTCGCTGCTGGCTGCTGCTGACTGGACGCCCTAAGGCGAGCTGCTGCTGACTGGACGGACTAAGGCGAGCTGGTGCTGAATCGATCGCGCCAACGCGTGTAATATATGTATACATGTCGTCATGTGTATAACAGCTGGCTCGCTGCTGGCTACACACACACACGAACACACACACACGAGAGCGATTACATTACCTCCCTGCAACTCCGTTGCGCGGAGGTAATGAAACAAGAACGTGTCTCCGCTGGGATGCAGGCAGATGACATATGGGACGCGTGTGCATGTAGAGTAGGTCGGAGCGCGTGGAAGCGCTGTGCAGGCATGCTGCCGCTCTATATGTCGGCGGTATTATCGTCATTATCATTAGTCTGTCAGGAAGTTACCGCGATATCCACGAGGGTAGCAGACGCCGCTGCCGCGCACTCGTGATATCATCAAAGGCGGTTGGTTATCTTACGCGCGGTTTCCGTGCGGCACAGGCGGCTCGAGCCTTCGCAATTAAGTCGTTACCTAGTGCGTTCGCACCGGCAGCAGTACTTCGTGGCTGTTACGTGACTGGTAGGTAGGTCGACAACCTGTGTGTGTGTGTGTGTGTGTGTGTGTGTGTGTGTGTGTGTGTGTGTGTGTGCGCGCGCGCGCGCGTGTGTGTGTGTGTGTGTGTGTGTGTGTGTGTGTGTGCTATGCCGCCGCGCATGGCGGAGGCGCATACGTCTAGTGGGATCGTAATGTGGTGGCTCTCTTCTTGTTGTTGTTCGTGCACAGGGCGTGCGTGCGCTGTGCTTGTGTGTTGCAGATGAGCATTTGAACGGCATTTACAGCAAGTTATCGACAATAATAGGCGAAATAGAGTAGAGAAACGTCGTTAGGACTTCAAATGGTAGTAAATACATTTCATGTTTATTTACCTTTTTTTATTATTGAGACGTTCCAAGTGCCTGTGATCGTAGTGTAGTGGCTGTCACAGCGGAGGCTGGCTAGTGAGATCGTAGTGTTGGTAGAGTGAGATCGTAGACACGGTCCGTGGAGCCAGGAGCGGTATCGTTTCTCGAGCTTCTTCTTAGAAGAAAGTTTAACGTGATTCGCTGTGATTTCGGTGCTTGTGAGAGAGCGTCAAGAGTTGTCACAAGATGTTCATTGACGGTATACGAATACAAGACTCGGCGGTTTTGATGTGTTAATAAAAAAGAGCGAAGGAGACAGTGAAAACGGAGACGAGAGATAACGTGAAAGGGGGAGGAAAAGAGAGAGACAGCAAGAGAGAGAGAGAAAGAGAGAAATGGAGAGCGCGAGAGAAGGGGGGCTGTGAGAGAGAGAAAGAGAAAGAGAGGGGAGACAGAGGAAGAGAGTGAGGGGAGGACAGAGATGGGGGGGGGGCAGAAAGGAGAGTTTCAATTATCGACACATAGTACTCATCCTCTCGATATTTCTCACCGAGTCTATACTAACCACGAGTCACCGCCGTCGGAAAGAGTGCGCGCGTGATACATTGTGCGTACACATGTACACATGACGTAATGCTGACGTCACGTATACTTGCAGTGCACGCGGAGGTGCATCAGAGCGGACGCAGCAGCAGCGGCCAGCAGGCGGCGGCCCACCATCCCCACTGCGACGCTGCCGGATCCTGCGCCTGGACGCCCGCCGATCGTTGCGCCACCTGTACTCTACAGCAGACGCCGCACAAGCATGCCGTCCACTGGAAAGGCGATCAAGGTGAGGCGTGGTCCGGTCTAATGTGATTACGTCACCGCAAATAGTAAAAGTAAAAAAATTATGTCCTCTTTTTCACAAAATGTAAGTGATTCTGTTCACTTTTTATTGCTGCATTATACTTCCTATTTTGCTATTTCGTTCGATGTGAAGAAACACTCGTGACTCATATATAGCCCATATCAAGCATTTAATGTCGTGATCAATACATGTATATATATCAAATCGCACAGGTATTTTGTTTTTTAACTAATCTTAGAAACAATATTATCAGGTAAGAATTTGAGGATACATTTAGTCCCGTTAGTACTTACTTTTCATGTAAAAAAAATTGCAACAGAAATATTACAAATATACACCATAGAAAATTCGTGACGTAGTCAATTTAATGCTAACTAATCTATATCCGCCTGCAGTCTTTGACAGACAGCTACATCCAATCAGCGTTACGATGAAAGGGTTCTAAAAACGCTAGTTAGTATCGAAATTCCTCAATTTTGCGCGTGTATGTGAAATGTGAAAACATATCTAATATTGGGGACTTTAACCGCCCTAGCTACAACATCCAATGCGTGTGCAGACGAAAAAGTCATTTCAGGACTAAGAATTCAGTGAGAAATCAAAGCATTGCTGAACTATCAGTTTGAGTTATGACAATGTCATGTAATCTAAGAGCGAGAGTTGATGGTTCGTGTGATACTAGTTAGTGATTAGCTGCAGGCGATGATGTGCTGATGATGTAGCCAACGATCGATTATAGTCTGTTTTCTATTTCTGTTATGTAGAGTTTCGTTTGCCCGCAAGACAGCCTAGCGTCGAGTCTATAATATCGCGCGAATTCCCAATATTTCCTGCCATATATATGATTATCTTGTACAGCACGCATCTTTATCATCTGTTGATAAATCGATCATGTCTTCACATCACTGAAGGAGGTGTAGTAGAGTGAAACTAAATATCAACAAGTGCTCAGATTATTATGGTAATAGTCGAATTGCGTCGAATGTACTATTAGAGAATTCATCAGATAAAAAAAGATTGGTCCGCAAATTTTACCAAACTCCAAACATCAGATACAGTGAAATCTACATAAATATCGCACAAGAGAAACGACAGAAGTTTTCTTTCTAAACAAGTGTCCATTTATAGAGGTGGTTTCCCTGTATGACTGCCACCGTGTGTAAACGGCAAGTGTCCGCCATAAACAGGTGACCGGTCTTATAAAGCTATACGCTAACAAGTGTTATTCATTTCCCAATTGTTTCTATTCTCTCCTCATAATCATCCCACTCCTCTTCCTCCTCCTCCTCCTCCTCATTCTATCCAAGAAGATTTTAACATATCTTTGCGTTTTCCTTTCCGGCCCGCAGGCCCAATAGACAGACGTCATCGATATCAGAACCACGTGCACCCCGGGCACGCCGGTGGCGCCACCTACGAGAACGTAGACGACGACATGGATCCGATATACGCAGTGCTGCAGAACACACCCTATGAGGTACGTGTGTGTATGTGCCTGAGTCCCCCGCAGGTTACGGCCCTGGGCTCGTGCCCTCAACCGCAGTGCATCTGCTGTTGGCCCAGAAACACAACATCTGTTGTTTGCAAACAAAACGCATTTCCGTCGTAAATATGTGAAACTGTCTCTATAGAGAAAAATCGATCTAAACGAAGTAGCGGTCAATAAAATCTGTGCATCGGCGTATGATGGGTATCCCTCCAGCATTGTTATTATATGTTAGATCCCGTTATTGATTTCTGTGCGTGTATGAGTTTTTACCTGACGTCGGTTCTGTATAATTCATAACGCACGCACTACTGCTTGGATAACCGCGTAAATTCTTAATGCCTCATAAATGACAAAGGTCTCTTCATACGAGCATGTTCGCCTCGTGTCCGTGTTCTACTCTGTGCGTTCATTAGTGAATAACGGAACTGCATCCTACAGTACGCGACAGAACGTCATTGCACATGCTGTTCACTCATATATATGTTTTTCTCCCTCTATCGCGCACTCTTTTTTTATCTCTCCTTTTCTCTCCCACTCTTTCTTTCGTGCTCTTTCTTTGTGTCCCTCTACAATACGCAACAGAACTCTCCTGTTCATTACATGTTCACTCCGTACCCATGCTTCACGTTCCACGTCCATCTATAGTAAGCAACAGACCGCCATGCTTGTTTGATGTTCCCCTCTCTGTGATCATATACAGCTCATAACAGATTCTGTGTGGTCTAATCAGCATAGTCTATGTTTTTCATGTGTACGCATATTCTTCCTTCAACAGTACGTAGCGGAACCTGTGAGGCTTGACAGCATAGACTTCACCCCCGAGAAGTTCATTGAGAAGGTACCCGGCGTGACGCCGGACGGAAAGCCGATACCTTCATGGAAGCGGCAGCTACTCGCGAAGAAGGAAGCCGAGAAGGCGAAGAAAGACACGGAGGAGAGGCTGAAGGTGAGAAGAAATTGTTTGCGAGAAGATGTGATGGGTGTGCGGTCTTGTGTTTGCTTGTGTGGCTGTTGCTAATGATAATGGTGACGATGGTAGTGGTGGTGGTAGCAATGACAATTCTAGTGTAGATGCTGCGGCTGCGGCTGCTTTTGCTAACGGTGGTGCTGGTGGTAGTGATGCCACTGCTGCTTGCTGCTCTGGTGGTAGTGATGCCACTGCTGCTTGCTGCTCTGGTGGTAGTGATGCCACTGCTGCTTGCTGCTCTGGTGGTAGTGATGCTACTGCTGCTAGTGGTGGTAGTGGTCGTGATGCTGCTAATGCTGCTGCTTTGGTGTTGTTGTTGTTGTTGTTGTTGTTGGTGGTGGTGGTGGTGGTGCTGCTGCTGGTGGTGGTGGTGTTGGTGCTGGTGGTGTTGGTGGTGTTGGTGTTGGTGGTGTTGGTGGTGTTGGTGGTGGTAGTGGTGGTGGTGATGGTCGTGGTGGTAGTGGTGTGTGTGGTGTTGGTGTTGGTGGTGTTGGTGGTGTTGGTGGTG